TCTTTCCCACTAGACTGTAAGCTCCATGAGAATTCATTATGGCCCTAAACCCAGTAGGCACAAAAGCCTCTGGCTGAACAAATCCAATCTGGCTTCTGACACAGCTCTTAGAGCATAGAAGTGGTGATGATTCCTCAGACCTGAAAGTGCTAAATCAAACCCATAGTGTCTGGGATGGCAGTTAAGGAAGAGGAATGAGTGCATGATTCAACATAATATATTTTTGAGAGACCCTGATGTCTAGGGAGTTTCATTTGGCTTTTGAGGATTTTGACAAGAACCACTGAATTGGTAAGCAAGTTTAACTTTGCAATAGCCGCACTGAACTAAGGATCATTAATTCCTCATTTTTCATCTTAAAAAGATGCTGAGTGCACTCAGGTCAGTGCTCCACCATTGAAAGGCAAAACCGTGTTAACGACAAATCACATGCCCCCATGGACTGTGTCCTTTCAGGATTAGTTGAAACTGGGAGCTAAAGAAAAATGGATCATTTAAGCAGAAAAACTCATCTGAATGAAACCCAAAGAACCTCACTTTGTTTTGTAACTGCTTTAGGGAATTCACATTTAATCACAATAGAAGAGTTCAGCATTTTCCATGAGAATTCTCACATCTTATCTCCATTTCAGTGATTTCTTTTTGATTAGTTGATGCTCTGCAGAAATCCTAACACGCCTAATACGGCCAGAAAATAGAAATGATGGTGGGAATTGCAGTTGCTTCTGGCATAAATTTGTTTGCTTCCTTGGTTTTGAGCTATCTTGCTAACAAGTAACCTGTAACCTTCGCAGGCTACAACTAGATAATTATTTGGTTAGTTTTCATTTTAGTTTATAATCCAAATTAGTTCTCCAACTAGTATTCCCTAGGTGATGTGTAGTTCGACTTCACAACTGTGATTCTTGGTTTTCAATCTCCTGTTTTCATTTTTTAAAATATATTTTTATAGGCATATAGTCCATTTACAATATTGTGTCAATTTCTGGTGTATGGCACAATATTTCAGTCATATAGGAACATACATATATTCATTTTCATATTCCTTTTAACCATAAGTTACTACAAGATATTGAATATACTTCCCTGTGCTGTACAGTATAAACTTGTTTATCTATTTTATATATAGTAGTCAGTATCTGCAAATTTTGACCTCCCATTTATCCCTTCCCACCCACTTTCTCTCCTGGTAACCTTAAATTCGTTTTCTATGTCTGTCATTCTGTTTCTCTTTTGTAAATAAGTTTATCTTTTTTTTTGATTCCACATATAAATGATATCATATGGTATTTTTCTTTCTCTTACTGGGTTACTTTACTTAGAATGACATTCTCCAGGTCCATCCATATGGCTGCAAATGGTGTTATTTTAGTCTTTTGTATGGCTGAGTAGTATTCCATTGTGTGTATGTATACATATATTTGCATCTTCTTTATCCAGTCATCTGTCAGTGGACATTTAGTTTGTTTCTACGTGTTGGCTGTTGTAAACAGTGCCACTATGAACATAGGGGTGCATGTATCTTTTTGAATTAAGGTTCTCTCTGGATATATGCCCAGTAGTACGATTG